CATTATAGTTTGTTTATCTTTTTAATTAATTTCCTCCAAACACATATTTAAAGTAAATCTTTTAGTAACAAAAACAATAAATAATTTTCAAAATAAATTTAAAAATATATATATATATATATATATATATATAAAATAAAACAATGCTTTTTTTACAACATTGATAATGTGTAATTTTTAAAAATAAATCCTTTCGTATCGTAATTATTTAACATAAATTATTAAAATAATTATATAAGATAATATTTTAATTCTTAAACTTTATTTTGAAATAATACTTAATAGCATTTATAGTCACTGTCATTAAAAGAATAATTATTAAGTACAATTTATTTGGATAACTATGGACAATAAGTAATCAATAATGAGAACTATTGTACCAGCAAAATTATCAAACAAAACGAAAATTACAAAACTATAATTAATTGTAATAATGTTGGTTAAATATGTATTTAGTTAGTTATAAAGTTATAATATCAAATATTTTGCAATGGTGTATATTTGATAAATATAAAATACATATTTTTACATTCTTTCGTATTAGGGATAATGGTGATTTTCCGTTGAAATGTATATTATATATATCATATCTAAATTTATCTTGTAAAAAAAATGTAGTAACCGATATGCATACCATATGCACCAATGACATACATGTGTTTTCAGTATCAGTTATTTTGTCTTAAACAAGTATAGCTTTAACTGTCATTGTTTAAATTATATTTTGCAGATGTTTCATCGAATATTTTTATAAATTAAATCTATCACAATAAGATATATAAAACATATCAAGCAATAATGATTTTTCAAATCAAAAATCGATAAACTTTAGCATTGTACATGTAAAATCTGACATGATAAAAACTTATAGATATGCAACAATAAATTTAATAGTTCTAAAATATAATTATTTGTCTTCTTCTTCTTCTTTTTTTTTTTTTTTTTTTTTTTTTTTGAGGAAAATTGAAAAATTATAAAATTTTCCTAACATTCCTAACTCAATAAAAAAAAAAAAATCAATATTATTTTATGGATTTCTTTTTTTTTTTTTTTACATATTTATAAAATAATAATTAAATCAAAATAATTTAAAGTTGAATTTCATGTTTATTTTTTTACGTGCATTCAATATTTCATAATTATAATGCAATATGGTGCATAAAAACTTACGATAAATAAAGTCTAGATAGTGTAAAATGAAATTTGCATATCTTTAGATAGAACAAAAAATGATACCCAGTCGAAGTATAAAGCGTAAAAAGTTAACACAATTTATTTACTTGGAATAAAGTCAATATTTCTATGTACTTTGATACGAAACAGTGAAATATTCACCTAACCTGTTTACGAAGAACTACCAACAGTATTAGGTATGACGACGTGAAAGTGTTTTATATCTTTTAAATTAGATTGCATATCGATCGAAAATTGCAAAACCTTTTCATTTTCGGTTTTTGATTAAAGACAAACAATAGAATATTATTTTACCTAAGGCATACACGCAGTGTTAAAGTTGAATTTAAAAAAAAAAAAAAAAATGAAGATTTATTGTTCACGAAATACTTGTTTACGAACGGTAAAAATTTCGAAAATCATCAAGAAACAAATACAAATTTTACATTTTATCCCTGAAAAATTCCTCTGCTGCATATACAATATATAATCAGCTCTTTTTCGGTATTTATTTAATAAGTGCATAGTTTTGTAATTCGATTGAACGAAGCACAAATTTGACTTCAAATGTATTTTACTGAGTCATATTGGTTTATTTATAGTTTAGAAACATTTCGAAACGTTTCGAATAAAGTAAAACAATTTCTTCTTATTTCGTTGCAAAATACGACGAGTATAAAGGTTAAATATGTGTTATGTTATTTTGTGTTATGTCTGGGTAGTGGAATAATTTTGAGGAGACATTTTCTAAATAATGGTACACTGTGGTTATACTAAATTAAAGTTGTCAGAATAAGAAACAGTGCAGTCTTAACTTGGATTTTATTATTTGATTAATGTTTGATTCTGGTTCATGAATCTATAAAATCTGACGATGATTTGATATTTTTTGCTTGTATATGTTGTTAACTGCAGCTCATCTAGCATTCGAGTGACAAAACAAACACTATATGGTACACACAGTATAGAATGTTATGTTGATTCGAAAAAACATTCAACGAAGTTCGCTCCGTAAATAACCTGTATTCATATGAACAATGCCTGAAGACATTACTTTTGAATCGCAGAGTTTTTCTACCTAAATAAAAATAACGTGTGCTTAAGGGTTTCACCCTGGATAGTGGTTTAACCTGGACATTAGAACCACAAGTAGTTAAAGAAATATTGACTTTAACTGTAATACACAGTAAAAACCCATTCACAATATGGGTGAATTAAGTGTGTTTATAAAGATACGAGTGATTTTTATGAATCAAGTATCTGAATCTAAGAAAAATACTTTTTTGATGTTATAACTATTGATAGTTATTAATTGGGCAGCTATCGGTTAAAGTAAAAAAGCAAAAATTTAAATTTTTAGTTTATAATTCAATCTGCTTAATATTATAGACATTGAAAATATTGATACCTATATTAAATGTATATAAGTTTTTGAGACATAAGAAGTCACTGCAGTTAGAAGTTGCCCATTTTTATGATTCAACATATAATCAGTCAGAAATGGAAATCCTGGTTATATGGGCGTGTGAATATTTCAGTTCTTGACATTTATTGTGCAATTTAATGATGTGTTATATTCTCATCATTTCTTAGATTTTTATTTTGTAAAATGTTAATAAAATAATTTAAGTTGCTCAAAAAAAGTTTTCCCAGCCATAAAACCTCAAAAATAAATTGTTCTTAAAAATTTCCTTTTAATTTTCTTTTATTTTCTTTGCATAATATTTCATCATCTGTTTTTAAAACAAAATAAAACCATAAATTCAGAGTATGCTACAATGGCTATGATAGTTGATGTTCTGTTTATGCGTGTATCATGAAAATCGTCGGAAAAACGTGTAATCGTAGAAACCATGTAATTTCTTTTTCACTTTTGTTATCAGTACCGCGGCACGAGAATATAAGTTCTACGAATGAAAATAAAATTTCAGCAAAGAAAAGAAGAAGAAGTAGAAAAAGAAGAAGATAAAAGAAATATTAGCTTTTCCAAACCTTGACGGCGATTAATCTTGTCAGTGTATTTTTCACTTTGCGTCCTTAATGTCATTTTCGTCGACTAATTGCCCAGTCAAATAGCTCGATTTGTAATGTAAATCCTAACCCACCTCCTCACTGCCGGTTTCTTTGCAAACGAGCATTAATAAATGTTGACTTTAGCTCTGAGGCAACCACGAGAGATCACAACAGTCGACAAAAAGTACACATCATTATTTATTTTTTTTATTCACTTGACAGAAAATAACTACTGTATCGGTGGACGGGTATAAAAGGAGGTTTTCAGACCAGAGGTGGTGGACGGAGTAAGGAGATCCGTGAGGTGGGAACGAAAGCCGGATATATTTCCAAAATGATTATCAGTTATATCCTAAATGGCGTTTTTAACAAATTTAATGTAAACGCTTAGAGTAGATTTCTAGATTTTTTCGTACGATAATTTTCGTTTACGCTGTTTTCTTCATAATACCTTATTAAACAGCGACGAGTCCATTTGGAGGTGCTCCGAACAGACATTATTCATGTAATATGCAAATATTAGCATCATAAACCCCGGTACAATTCACCCATGAAATATTTCGTAACTAAAATTCTGAGAAATGTATTCAAAAACGCAAATAAACACAGAAGCCTAATCTAAACTATATATAACACAATAGACACTGCAGACTCTTTTGAAATTAATGACAGAAATAAATAACGTATACAACAATGTTACTCGTATTTCGTATAATGCAACATAATATATTCGTATCGAGTATATTTGTATATATACTTGTGTATTTGCATGTATATTCAAATAAATTGAATAATATTACATTTATATGTGCAAATTTTAATTCAAAATAAAATGTTTTACATACTTACAGCACGTTTAGCGTTATAAAAATAAATCGTATTTAATTAAAAAAATGTTGTCTGCGTGACGTCTCTGTGATATCGTGTCAAGTAAAATGAGTCATATTCTATAGCGGTGATTCTCAACGTTCGCAGTGGTATACAAGGTCAGCACATTTTTTTTAAAAATTGCGTCACGAATAGAAGAATCTAAACGAGCACTGGACGTGTTTATGATAAAAAACATGAAAAAAATAATGTCCGTAGGCTTGCGTGAAAATATTTATTTATACTCGAAGCCAATTATTTATATTTATATTATCATTAAAATCGAATGCCGGATTGAACATGGATGATTCGGTACAATAGATAAACAATATCCATACGGTACTTAACATGATATTACATAGAAAGAGAACAATAAAATAAATGTGGTTTTAATGTGGGAATACCTACATGGGGTTGCTCGAAATACGCAGTACAATACAGCCAGGACCGTCGCTAGAGTACGAGCAAGCCATGCGTTGTTTTAGGGCGGCATAACATTGTAAAGAAACTGAGGCGACAAATTGTAGTATTAAATTTCTAAAAAAGACAGCAACTTAAATCAATCGAATCAATACATTTATAAAAAAAATGTTAATCTCAATATTTTGCATGTAACTATTTAATTTAGTATCTTAAGAGCATCATTAAAATTTTCGCTTTAGGGAGGAAAAAATCTTACGACGGGCCTGAATACAACTTAATATGAAATTCTGATTTTGATTCGTTTACATCTTGTTTGTTTTGATCATCCACTTTTAAATGATTGTATTTCAACGTAATGCTGATTCGTTTTATTAGAAACTATAACTCCGCAAAAACGTACTGTTATCTTAAAAGGTACAGCTAAATTTTGAATAGCACGTAATTCGCCTGGAACGCTTCGTGTAACACGGGAACACAAAAAAAAAAACAAAATGGAAAATGCTATAATAAATTCAAATAACAAATACAATATTGCACAACATACATTGTGTTTATTCGATATAAAATGTATAATATGTATATGATTGTTTGATTCTTAGTATCTGCTTGTTTGGTTTCTTCAAACACACATAGTCCCGGAGTAACATAGGAGAAAGTAACGGTTTTAAATTATAAATAAAACTTATTGAAAACTAATTTAAAAGTAATTACAAAAACGTGTGAAATGTATATACAAATCATTATATGTGTTCATCGTCCCAGCGGTCAAAACACAATAGTTGAGCGTGCGATGAAGTGAATGATTACCACGGGCAAAGCGTAAACGAAATTAAAATTCCGTGAAGCATTAGACGTCAGGCCATCTTGTAAAGCTAATTCATTTACTGAAACAAAAATAAACCAAACCAATGATAATCAGTGAGAAATATAATGTACCATCATAGAATTGTCCTTTTTAATTCAATGTAATAACATAGCATATTGAAGTATTGTGTACAATAATGATCTTGTTATACTATATTATATTATTATTGATTTTATGTAATAAATTACAAATGAACCCAACGAATAATCCATTTTTCATTAGTTATATTTGAATTGTATAGTTATTTGAAAATGAAATTCAATGTAACTCTAACCTAAAATTAATTTTATTCATTATTTTTATAATTTTCGGTTTAATTTTACATTTTTAAATTCACGAGGAGATAAAGTTAAGGTGGTGTTGAACTTGTTAGATATAAATTAGTAAATCATTGCTGGTAGCTATGATTACAGTATCGTCAGCATATGTATAGTATTCATAGTAATTGGAATATCATAAGCAAACATATGAGTGTTATAAAGTAGTTGTGAGAATTCGCTACCTCGACGAACTCCTAAATAAATATTATGATACATTTTAAATAAATAACCTATGTATGAAAAAAGTAGTTTTTCTTTTTTTAGAAAAAAAAAAAAAAAAAATACCGTACATTCATAAAAATATATTTTTCTGTAAAAATGTATTCTATAGTTATTTGCCCTAAATTCGATAAAACATTTGTTACCGGTATTAGGATTAGATAAATACTTTTTTATCGAGATAAAGATGAATATAGTACGACAATAATGTATCAAGATAAAGATAAAAGATAACTAAAAATTAAAGATAAATACATTTTTATCTTAATAAAAAAAATGATAAATTTGTTTTATACTTTGACATATAACTTTTTAAAAGTACACTTTAGATGCTATTATACTACTTAGTACTTATATATTATTTAAATACAGCATATATATTTAAATTAATTTTGGTAGTAGACATAAATATCAATCAATAAGTTTATCAAATATTTTTAAGATTAAGTATAAGCTAGTATTAGTATAAGAAAACTCAACGGTCGCCAATTTATTGCGCCATACAGAATAAACACACCGGTGTCGCCGGTACACCGTGCACGGCCGAACATGAGGGGAGAAAAGACGCGAAGAACTACTTATTAAACCATTACTGGAAAGGGACGTTACGAGTCTGACGAACGCAACACGCGAACACGTGTACAACCGACGTCGTCGGTTCAGTTATTCGACCGTTTCGACCCCGTTATTGGTCGCGCCCAGTAACCCGAAAGCGGATTATTGGGAGGCCCTTTAGTGGAATTCAACGGCGCGGAGACCGCGAACAATTAGACAAAATTACCCGTATTTTTCGTCTATTAAAATTTTACTTAAAGTTTTCCTCTTGCTGCTTTTTACGTATGCACGTATCCGGTACAAGTTTGTCTGTGTTTACCGTTAAGCGACCACAATAGTCGAGAGATGGGTTGAACCGAATTCCATTTAGCTCTCATCCCCGAAATCCGGTCCTAATAGACCCTCGTCACTCCGAATGTTACACACAACTAAGGGTGTGTGGGGAAATTACACGCAGATCAGAGAAACGTTATATGTATTCGGATCGTAACATGTTTTTTTTTATTATGTTTAGTGCGATTCAAACATCACTTTATACTGTTCCAAGAGCACATCGATAAATACGATTCACGAGTTTGCTCCACTGGAGAATCGGTTTTCCGATGGTGCCTGGGGGCGGACTGATGGTTTAAGTATGCGTTATCGTCTGAACCCGTTGGTGAACCGATTAACGAAACATCAAAAGACAGCGTATCGTTGTAACCCTCGCGCGTTTAATTACACGGCGGTGATTCGATATAACCTTGTTCGGGATTAAGCGCTGCACAGGCGATATCGGCATAACATATTATAATTGATAATTAACCGTATGTAGAATAGCATTGCGTATTACCCTTCGGCCGTAACAATACCTGCAAATGTCTAGTTTACACAATGATACGTCAATACACTATCGACCCGGATAGCGGTTAATACCACCGCCGTTGTAAGCGTGCTTTGTGTTTTAACAAACTATGTAGTAATTAACTGTTGATTTATGACGGATACGAATCAAAGTTTTTCTCGATTCAAAATAATGTATACTGAAAACCGGTGCGCACTTTCCTTTGAAAATGTCACTCTAATCTTTCGTAATCAACTGCAACTGTAAACGTTTCGTTACGTATAATGTTTTAACGAAAACATATTTTTTTTCCATGCGATTTCGGTAAGTGATTTTGTTTCAGACGAATTAACGACTTAACAACTGAAATAGCAATGTGTTCCTGTGCAATGCGCTGAACTAATGTCAACACAAAGTCCAATTATTTCAATTACCAAGTATATTTTACACGGTTTCACACTTTTTTCGATTTAATAAACTCGAACTTTTTACATTGCCTGTCTTGAATATCTTATACTACACTAAGTAAATGCATATTTCATCTGTTTACTGCGCATTTATCATCCCGAGATCCAGTAATTGATGTATGGGATCTAATGGTTGACGCGCGTCGATTTATACTTGCGGTTATTGCTACTGACGATAAGTCGTGAGATTCAAATCCTTAGGGATATGGTTGTCGTTAAACATGTATTTTTTATTCATCGTCCGGTTCACAATTATTGAACATCAGTCGTAATCCAAATGATACTCGTAAAAACGACGATCGTAACAACATTGTCAGAACATTATGCACACAAGTGCAAACGTCGATGTAAATATAATTTTTAAACTCGACCGAAGGACAAACGGAACATAGAACATAACATTCGTACATGTGATCGACACGTCGTTGAAAGATTTTTATTTCGGATTACTATCTCAAAACCGGCTGCATCCGAATCGGGTCCCGAATTTAAAATTACTTCACTAGATGGATCCTGAATTATTTTAAGTATACGCTAGTTCCTGAATATTTTTTGGTAAGTTCTATATTATACTGAAATTGTCCTTCCCATTTTAACAGCCTTAGGACTTTCTATGATCTATTTAGACCACAGGTATGGTTAAAAATGTGTTTTATAGTTTTTTTTTTTTAGTTTCTTTTCCATTAATTTTAATTTATATTATATAATGATTTTAACATTTTTAATATTTTTTCATTTACCTATATATCTATAATTATATAAAATAATATATATTTTTATACTTGATTTTTAATATTTTTACTAACAAAATTCTAATAATTTATATTTCAATGGAAAGAAACTAAAAAACAAAAAAAAAAAAAAAAAAACTATAAAAATCATATTAAACATACCTGTGGTCTAAATAGATCTTATACAGTCCTAAGTCTGTTAAAATGGGAAGGAAAATGTTAGTATAATGTTGTACTTATCAAAAAAATATTCAAGAACTAGTTTAATACCTATAAAAATCCGGGACCCAACTAATACACTACCTGCGATTAGCCCATAGTACTCGGGACCCAACTCGGGTGCCCCGTCAAAACCATACACTCACCCGGCGGTATTACGTGCAACGTGAACGTGGTGGTGTTCTTGTTACCCGACTTGCACGTGTATTTACCGGAGTCCGATCTGGTTACGCTGGCGAGGGTCAGTCGACTGGCGAAGTAATTCGACGACCTGTCCGTCTCCACGCTCAAACTTCCTCTGCGGTCCTGCAACAGTACAACGGTTTGGATTTTAATACAGATTTGCGAAACGCAAGAAAGACTTATGTTACAGTTCGATGAAATCGTGGTTGGTCTAGTATTTCCGTTAATTTTTGTAGCAATCGAATTGGAAATTATTTCGCGTGCACAACCGAGGCCCTAAAAAGCTGTTGGACGCAAAAAGTGAAACCGTATTCTAAGACTATATAGTTAGGTTTTGAATCGTAACATTCGAATATCGGTACTGGGTCGGGAGGCGATTATTCGATTTCGTATTGAATAAATCACTGTTTTTGTAGAAAACTTTCTGAACTTTTAAAAAAATAAAACAAAATAAACGATTCGGGTAGCTAAAAAGTAATACAACATTTCCGATAGTAAATAATTCATAATTATAATGGTGTATGTTCGGACGCACTAACCAGACCATTTTTTCTCTCGGGAACTAATAAGCATTTCACAGTTTTAACAAACCCTAAGTATTATATCTGTTCGTGCAATTTTTCAATCGATTGAATAATATGCTGCATAAAAGAATTGGAGCACAAAACTACTAAAATATGAAAAAACGAAAATAAAAAAAACGAACACTATTTTTTCGATACACAAAAAGGGATGTACGTATATGTTGTATGCGGCATTGTGAAATAACAATAGCTTCCTCGTACCACTAAGAGTCGAAATTTAACAAGTTTACACATGGAATACATAATATAAATTCATGCCATAAAATGTTGCGCACACGAAAAAGGTACAAATTATTATTATTGTTATATATGTGTGTGTGTGTATATTTATTTATTTATTCTGGTCGTAGAAACATTATGTTTATTGTGATGAAATAATGACTCTTCACAATACATACCTAAAACAAACGAAAATTATTAACGAAAAATGCTAAACCCTTTGACGCGAAATAACTGTTAACGTATAACTGTGAAAACAAACTTAAAATTCAGCTCGTCTGGACTGTTATAATATTTTAATTGCTATATTTCCGAAAAACATTTTTTATTGTATATAAAAATTATCATTGCATTAATAACATAACAACATATAAACACATAACAATTTTATAAATATTGAAACGAACAATTATTTTACCGTTTCACAATGAAATAAATCGTATATTAAAATATACTCCACACGTTCTGATTAATGATTCACTCGGAATATATATTTTCTAAGGGAGCCATGTTAGGCGTAATATTAATAAGAAATATAAATTTGCTATTGATGTTGAAGAGCATTCATCAAGAAAAATTATAATTATAATAATTAACAAGCGAAGTATAAGATATAAGTTCGTTTATTGACGTTATGATCTACGATAATACGAGGCTCTTGATAAATTTTAAATATCAAAAAAAAATTTAAGCATTAGAGTTATAGTTATATTTATTGAATATTTCCTCGTAGATTTATAAGCTAGAATGATGGGAAACATCGAATAATTGTATCAAATGGGAAATGCATGAACGAGAAATATCATTATAACAAACAAATCGTAGGTACTTAGTGTAAAATATTTTGTTGTTTGAACTACTATTGTTCATAATATTATTATCCATCCTACATTATATCACTTACACTATTTTCTGAAAAATCGAAATCATAAAACTGTAATACTTGTCGTATAGAGATATTATAATTAAAAATGTGTGTAAAAGTAATCAAAATACTATTAAAGTAAGATTATCTTACATTATATGTGTACTGTGTAAACATATTGTTATTGTACTTAAATATAATTGTTATAATGTGAATATATATATTAATTATTAACAAATATACATATTAACATTATAACTAGGGCTCCGATGTTAATACCCCTAAAACTATTGTTATATGTTTGCATTTATGCACTAAAAAAATACCAAATATGTGGAGTAATTTGTAAGAATTGAATTTGTATTAGTTGTTATTATTATATTTTATACTTTTTTAGTGTAAGATAATAAGTAACAATATGAGCGTCACACTATGATACAATGATTTTTTTTTTTAATTTGATCAAACTTGAGTCTAAAAATATTTGGGACGAACACAATCATACGGATCGATAATATATCATTTAATAATTTATTATTTTTAAAAAATTTCGAAAATATACTGAAATGTGCATTTATATTTTAAAAATTCCAATAATATATATTCGAATATAAAACCATAAAATATGCAAAAGTATCCAAAGTTGAATTAATATTGTTTGGTTCAGTAGGAAATTAATCAAATTTGTATCTAGGTCCGTATTAAATTAGATCAAATGAAAATTAGAAAATTAGCAATTTCATAAATATCCGAGCATTATTAATTTAGTATGAAGAATCGGGTATATATAAAATATGTATCAATATGATTAAATATTTCAAAGAATATTAATAAAATAAAATATAAGATACGAAATAAAAGTTTCTCATTGGTGTAATATGGATGTGTAAATATTTACGCCCAGTTTCGATTTAAAAATCATCAATAGGTAAACAAAAATCCAATGCATCGATCATAAATATTTAAACGTTAATTAAACTTCAAACTTTTAATTTTCTGTACAAGTACATTAGTTTGTAATATTTAATAATACTTTATTATTCTTTTAATGGCAATATAACAAATAAAAAACTAATTTATGTTTTGTATAATGTGAAATGCTGTTTTATATTTAAAAACAAAAAATAAATTTAAAAAATATACAAAGAAGAAAAAATTAGTTGACTGTAGCAACAATCGGTTAAAAACTAAAAACGAGTTTATTAAACGATTGAATGTTTGAATGCATGCATCTAAATTTTGGCATTAATCGGCTCAATATTTGTATGTAAAAACGATCATACATGTTACTAACAATGGAATTCACCCCGGAAGTGTCAGAAATGGGGAAACGTCATGTGATCATTAATAACGCTGACGGAGAAACGAAAAACGCACAATGTAACCTACATGATAGAGAAATGTATTTTAAAGTTGTACACTTGGTCGAAAAAAGTTCTAAAAATACAATAATATACAATAATATAATTCAAATGCCGATAAGAGCCGACGACGAAACGTATTTACAGGTCACGTGTAAGTAGGTAAATATATATATATATATATATATATATATATATATATATATTATAATTGTCTATAAATATTGCTGTAAAAGAAATATATATATATATATAAGATTAAAAAATAATAGCATAAAAAATAGGTCTTATCATTTAAATTTGACGAAAACATCTGTGAGCTTATCAAAAATATCCAGACTGTATACATATCATAACTATATTAATATAGTAAATTAATATATTAAATTTAATACATAATTATATTAATTACATAATTATATTAATATGGAACTGTGTGTCCGAATACGAATATACATAATTATAGATTTTCGTTTGTTTTATAAATTCGATTTAATATTCCCAATAAGACTCATGTTTCAATACTGATTTTGATTATACACTCAAAATTGATATATTTAAAATATATAACCCTTTACCATATCCCTGGAAACTTATCAAAAAAAGAAGGTTGTTAGCGTTCTTTTTGGATCACAAATAATGAGTCTGGTTAGTTCTCTGTGTGATTAACATGGGACAGTGGAAATATTCTACTGATTAAAAAATCACTTATGCTGGTCAATTATTCTCACATAATAAACAATTGAAAAAACTATATAAATATTTAACATATCACTCGAATAATTGAGATCACCATCTATTTCATCAACCGAAGAAAATTTTTTAATCTGCTGAAATATATAATATTGTAAACGTTTAATGCTTTATGTACAAGATATTATATAATATTGTTATTATTATTATACAACCGTTAACACTAATTGTTTTATCAATAAAAATAAAAATGAATGTCAATTATATGTTTACATATCTACATAACTTAAAAATGAGTTACATATTTTCAATGTCCTAAAAAGTATAGAAACCGTGAGAAAAAAATGCATTTATCTGAAAACAATTTATTGAAATAAACTACTACGAAAGAAATCAATACAATGAACAAGTATCACTGTAGTAGTTGAACCAAAGTAGCCTTGAGTTTCATTGCTATGTTGAAATCTCTAGAATCAATGATTCCATTATTAAATTTTAAATTAATTAAGCTAAACTTCGGGTATGATTTGATTCGCATAAGTGATGAAAATCCTTAGGGAAATGAGAAGCTGCGTATTGCAGTGTTCGTAAGAAATATTTTGCCATCAATCAACTAAAAAATATATTTCTTCGAAAACTGTAATCAATACAAATAGAATTATTGAAATGGATAACTACAGTTTTGACTAAATAAAAACAAATAAAGTAGTTAAGATATCAATTTAATGTTGAAAATATAATGATCGTTTTTAAAATTTTTTCCTTTCAACTTTGTTAAATATTTAATTCGTAAATCAGTAGAAACAATTTATACATATTTTTATCCACTTATTTTATAATAAATGAAAACCAACTTAAACATCTTTATAGAATTGTCTCCTAATCAGACTCTTCCTAATGAACTAAATAAGCTACATTCCGTGTCAATAGTATTAATATTAAAATATAGTTATCATAAATTCTGGTTAATGAACATCAACAATAAAAAGTAAAAATCAGAACCCCAAATGATTAATCGGTATAATTAAATTCCATAAAAATGAATCGATTTTTCTAAATATATTAACTCCTAAAATATGATAGAATATAAGCACCTAAATAAATATTTATAATAATAACAATGAACAAACAAAACCATACATTTTTCTCCATTAAACTTAAGAATAAAACTCTAAAAACGAAATTACGTCGTTTATTTGGTACATTTATTGATAATATTTGAAAAATATTCATATATTTAATGTTCATAATATCAGATCTCATGGATCATAATTTATTTATTTTTTTGGCAATTCCAACTTATTTTATTTTTCAATCACACGTACTACCAATTTATAAGGATATTTTAATGTATATCACTTCAAATATATTGTTGTATAAGCTTCGCGAGCTATCAAGTCG